AAATAATATCTATTAATAATTACTTAGATATTCAGATTTGTTTCACATTTATTTCATATAAAAAGTCTGGGTCAGGTTGATAATGAAGATCTAATACATATTTAGTTTTAGAGTGTTTAATTCTGTTATAAATGATAAGGTAGTTTGTAGTTTCCAAAACATCTTTTAAGATGTTTTGAGTATAAATAAGTAGGAAGAAGTTTGTTAGACATAGAACTCATGAGATAGAAAGAAATCAAAGGACCAAGAGTACTTAATATTCTTGAGGCACCTGGGTAACAAATATTCACGGTGTACAAAATACACAGGAATCACTAGTCACAATATGCTCCACACACGTCACCACAATAGTCATGAGGTCTTAATATGGCACCCACTGATAACACCCATTCTGGTCCCATCTGTCCTCTGTTCAAGAAACACAAATAAAACCCATGATGACTTATGCACCAGGCACACTTGTCCCTGTGTCTTTCCCATAGAGCAAGTTCATGTCATTGGCCATTGGCACGTTTTGTCTGTGAGGCCCCTTGCTCAAAACTCAACTCCAGAGAAGATCAGTGAGGCAGAGAGAAAGACAGGGCACGGGACCATTGAACATGCCCAGGGAGTGTGGTCTTTCAACCCCACTTGCACTCTGTCATAGGCGTGGTTAATGTACCCCATCCCTTTTCCTTTGCTTCTCACTGTGTTTTTAATTGGTTTGATAAACTATGGATATGAGTGTCTTAATTTGGTATGTAAGCATTTCTTCTTGGATAGTCTGCCTCAAAGTGTATTTGGAGACCCCACCATTCCCCATCAGGTCATTCCATAATCCATATGATTATAAAAATTGCATTTCCTTATGGATTACATGATATTGGGTGGGGAAAAGGTTTCAGGCCAAATATCAAACATGGTTTGGATACATTTTCTTTCCATCTTATTCCAATCACAGTCTTTATTCCATTCACAGTATTTATTAAGATGCCATTGGGAAACAAGGGTGTGATCCTTATGTGTTAATATATTTACTTTGGAGATTCACCATAAATGGATAAATCCCTATCCATTCCAAATTTTTTATTATAATACATCTCTCATCCACCACCACATAAAATATTTTAGATTCCCTGATAAAACTGTTTTCAAATTAATTGCAATTGTTTAATATTTTAAAGTCAAGAAATAAAAATGGTCCAAATGATAACTGTGTTGGTGAGGCATTTCTTACCTCTTTAGTGATGTAGCCATCTTTATTTATGTCATACAAATTAAATGCCCAGTTGAGTTTTTCTTGTACTGTCCCCCGGAGCAAAATGGAAAGACCCTTGATGAAATCCTAAAACAAAATAAAAATATGAATATAATTTGATATGACATTTCTAAAAAACCAAAACACAAACTCAAATAAATAAAATTATCTCTCAAATGATGGAAGAAAGGGTTATAACCCTCCAGATTTTCAACCATTTATTTTGCAAAATTATCGTGTCCTTGATCGTCTGTTTCTCAGAGTTCTGTGCAGGCATAAACCACTTCTGAGCCTCAACATTCTCACCTTGTAATTGCAAACTATGAATTAAATCGACTGTGGTACTGGAAATTGTATCAGAATGGACACCTTAACAGTAAAATGCTTGAGTGTAAGTGCTATTGGTATTCCACTACAAGTGCATGCATTTTACTGAAAAGAGTCTAATAACAGTGTATTTTTAAAAATACAAGCATGCACATAACACACTTCCAATAAAAAGATTTGCTAACGAGAAATGCAGCTGTCCATAAGAGGTAGACCAACTGTAGTCTTTAATTAGAAATCCAGTTATAGTTTACATGTGGGCAGTGGTTAAGAGCATGAAGCTGGAAACCAGACTGCCTGGATTCAAATTCCAGCTACAACATTGAATAGCTTTGTGTCCTTAGGGAACTTAACATCCTTTTGCCTCAATTTTCATATGTGTAAAATACATGTATAGTATCAATAGTATCTACTTAAATATTTTATGACGATTAAAAGCATTAGGCTGCTTACAACAGCTCCTGGCAAGGGCATCAGATACGTAAGTGTTAAACTGGAACCCTCAGCTTGTATCCTGTTTAAGCTGGTTTGCATTGCAGACCAGCCACGTCAACTTTATCATATTCATATATATCTGTTGTTGTTATGTAGAGCAGGGTTAACAATATAGCTGAATTCAGAGTCCATAATCCAATTTTAGGTAGGAATGAAAGCAGAAGGAAAATTCAAAAGTGGTCTTCTGGGTGAATTTGCATTCTCTCTCTCCTTTTCCACATTCCATCATTTTATAGCTGTTTTTTTTCTGTCCCAGTTTATTAAAATATATGTGTGTGTGTGTGTGTGTGTGTGTGTGTGTGTTTAAATAGATAACATTTATACAATTCAAAGCTTAAAAACAATGCAAGATGTCTGGAAAAATCTTCCTTCCCTTCTGGACCCGTTCCTTTCACCATAGATAATTGGCATTAGCAGCTTGTATTTACTTCCAATGAATTTTTGTGCATATGTAAATATAAGATCTGTTTATGTGTGTATATATATTCCCCTCCACTTTACACAAATGATAGTCTAACAGACTGTTCTGTACTTAAATTTTTTTTCACTTAACTATACATCAGGGAAACCATTCCAGTCTTTTTCACCACTGTACTGTATGTATGAGTATTCTATACTTTATTTAACCATACAGTTCTTTCACATTTCTTCTCATATTTATTTCTAGGTGTGTTAATTTTTCTGTTGCTGTTGTAAATATTTCCTCTATTATATATTCTGTATTAGTTTCGTGTATATGAAAGCCATTAATTTCTGTATAATAATTTTTTCTTGCCATTTACTGTTACTATAGTATAAGTTTTCTCCTGGGTTTTTCATGTATGCAATCATATTAGCTGCCAACGGGGTTAATTTTTACCTCTTTTTTTCAATTTTTATGTTTGCTTTCTTTTTTCTAATTGTGTAGTACTTCTAGACTAGAACAATGATACATAATGAAAATGATAAAGAGATATCCTTATTTTGTTCCTGAGCTTAATGAAAATATTTCTATTATTCCTCTTTTAAGCATGATCCTGACTTTTATCATACTAAGAAGTATACAACTATTCCACTTAAACAAATTTATAAAGAATGGCCATTGACCTTTTTTTCAGAAATGAAAAAAACATTTGTCAAATTCACATTGCAAGGAGCCCTGAATTGCCAAAACAATATTAACAAAGAAAAACAAAGTTAGAGGATTTACATTTCTCAATTTCAAAACTTAGTACAAATTTATAGTAATCCAAACAGTATGGTACCAGTATGAAGATAAAAATACAGAATAGCAGAATAGAATTGAGGTTCAAACATGAACCCAGCATCTGTGGCCAACTGATCTTCAACAGTGGTGCCAAGACCATTCAACAGAGAAGGAATAGTCTCTTCAACATGTGGCACTGCAGCAGCTGGACAGCCATACTTACTACACAGCCCATCTTCATTCAGGGTAGACTGTCAAGTGAGAGAAAAAGAGGATTCAAGAGAAGGCCACAATTCCAATATTTAATAGGTAGAGGGAAGAGAGAAGCTGGCAAAACATCTTGAAAAGAAGTTACTAAAGAAGGAAGAGGAGGCTGGGC